ATTGCATTTCTTCAGCACAAAGCATGAGACACGACTAATACTGTAGCACCCTTGAAGAAACTAATGATGGACAAACTGAGAGACCTTAAAATGAAACCATGGGATTTGTCTGCAGATTATAACATCCTGCATAATCGTGGGAAGCCCTATCAGAAAACAATGAAATTTGTGACTAAACTATCATTTCTATGGTTTTCTGAATATTCAAGTAACCACTGTAAATACAAATCAGAATAAAGATGGAATTAGTTCCTCACATTAGACTAATCAAATAAGGATATAAAATTAAAGTGCACTAAAGGGGTACCTAAATAACATTTATTTAACAGATAATGTGATACAGCAATTAGTTTATTGCATCTACAGTAAAAGTGAAAAGGCATACAGTTATGAGTTTACTCTTAACTATATGACTTGACCATCTTTTTTAAAATCAGTACAATGCCTACTCATATCTAGGTGGACAAAAGCACACACAGATCAACCGAACTTTTAAATAAACTGAAAAGCATTACCATCTTCCCGTCAGTAAAAAAGGTCTGACTCATCAGCTATTTCAGCTGCAAAACGATGACACTAGTTCCCACTGCAGCTGCTGCAGCTGCTATGTTGCACTCACTTTACAGATGCACAATTAGCTTGCATCTCACATGAATATCATGGAAGAGTTCCGGGCTTTCCCAAAAGACAAGCTCTTTCACACAGCAGAAACTGTCGTACTTATGACCAGCCAGCAGGAATTCTTCAGCATTTAGAACTTTGCAGAAATCATTTTCCACTAGATAGCTTTTGCTTTGATAATCCAGACTTGCAACATCTAGTGGGTGAGATTGGATTTTTCAGCAGAAGGCTCTCTGGCAAAGCTCATTGTCTTAATGAACAGGCCCTTTGTCAGCAGAGAATGTGGGTGCAGTAACATATGAATAAGGAAAGCAAGAAGATTCTTTCAACAGATCTAATGATAGGGACATCTTTTTTTCTCAGACCGGGTGCTTAGTATCTGCCTTCAGCATCAATTGTGTAATGATGTGTTTCTTCAGCTTATGCATTGCTTTTGAACAACCAGCTGAATTTGCTATTGGTTGTCAATCATTAGTTTAAACATATAGAATTAAGTACATTTGCAATTCTCAAGTAATAAGTGTGAAAAAGGGGTGTTATTTTTTGCAAACGTCTGCAAGGGTGCAGCAAACTTAATTCACATTTTTTGTATATTAATAGTGCTATCACTAAATATAAAGTCAAAACGAAACATTGCTGTTATTAAGTATGTGATTAAAATGTCCTATGACTGTATTCTTGGATCAAACAAACTTTAAATGTTGAAACGATTTGAAGCCTAGTCTGTACTTTCAGACTGTAACTCTTTCAACAGACACATATGAGAATTTTCCAGTTTCTATTGATTTTTTTTTTGTTTTTTGTAGGCAAGATGGGCATTGCTACAAACTTAAAATTTACTGCCTATCTCCTATTAACCTTAACTGATTGACTTGCTGGACCCGCTTTGCAAGGCAGCTGAGAGTCAATTGCATTGACATGCGCCAAGAGTCACATATAGGCCAGACTGGGTAAGCAGAGTCTAAAGGACGTGAGTGAACTAATTTATTTTTAAAAGGACAAGCTGTAAGTTGCATTGACACTGTTAAAATACTAGCTTTTCATTCCAGATTTATTTAATAAACCAAATTCAAGTTTCCCAGATTGTTTGATGGTATATAAATATATATTTTTGGACTATTTTTGCTTCATTAGTCCAACAGCAGGAATTACTGCCGAAATTCCACGGAAAGGGGCGGCACAGTGGCCCAGTGGTTAGCACTGCTGCCTCACAGTGCTCGGGACCTGGGTTCGATTCCACCCTTGGGCGACTATCTGTGTGGAGTCTGCACATTCTGTGTCTGCGTGGGTTTCCTCCGGGTGCTCCAGTTTCCTCCCACAGTCCAAAGATGTGCAGGTTAGGTGCATTGGCCGTGCTAAGTTGCCCATAGTGTTCAGGGATGTGTAGCTTAAGTGGGTTATAGGGGGATGGGTCTGGGTCTGGATGAGAAGCTCCAAGGGTCGGTGTGGACTTGTTGGGCTGAAGGGCCTGTTTCCACACTGTAGGGATTCTATTCCAAATTCCTTTTCATAGGAAAGAATAAACTATAGGAATAGCCAATGTTCAAAGCTCTTCCTTTTTACATGTAATGTACAAATTAATTAGATATTTTATATTTATTAAAATTGAAGCTATTCTTCTGGCTTCATGGACATCAGCCATTTTGGAATTTGCTCTTTTCCCAGTTAAGTGGTAAACCATGTCTACACCCAGGGCATGAATTCTTTGCTTTAAATGGAAAGACCTGGAAGTTCATTCAAAGTCATTTGAGTTTAAAAAAAAACACAACGCTGGTCCAAGGTCCTAACCATAATTGGAATTACTCAATCTATTACAGAACACAAAAGTCTCTCTCCATAACTATGAGACATTTAAGTAGGATATCTCCATTAAATCAGAAAATTAATTTGCATTTATTAAGGTTAAAAATTTGTTTGTTTTCTTGACAGTGTTTCCTGTTTGGAGTCTTTCATGGAGTGAGTCAAAGGAAAACAATGAATTCCAGAGTGCTTCGATAAAATCCAAGGTTTATTGAACCTCCTAATTTTTGCAGTACACCACCACAAAGAGTTCCTCATAATAGTGTCCTCAGACCAATGAACTTCTGGTTGGGAATTCTAAGGTGATTAACACACATCCGGATTCCCCAAAGCCTGTTCACCATCTACATGGCACAAATCAGAAAGTGAAGCGTTATTCCACACTTCCTTGGATAACTGAGCCTCCAACAACACTCGAGAAGTTCAACACCATCTTAAACAGAGTAGCCTGCTCAACTGATAGCGCATCCACCACTTTACAAAAAAAAAACACTCCTTCCACCACTGGCATACAGGTGACGCCATTCGTATCATATTAGAAACGCACTGCTGTACTTCACGAAGGCTCCTTTGACAGCATCTTCGAAAGCTGCTAATTCTTAGTTCCTAAAAGAACACAGACAGTTTTCACATGGAAACTAACGCCCTGCAAATACTCCTCAGAGCCACAGAGCATCTTGATTTTGAAGTATGTTACAGTTCGTTCACTACTGCAGGTCAAAATCCTGGATCTCCCTTCCTAATAACACTCCGTATGCCAGTACAAGACAGACTAGTGGTTCAAGAAGATGGCTCACTGGTACCTTCTCAAAACGCCTTGCATCAAATACGAACAAAAGATCTGAACTCTTGACATCAAGGGATCATTTGATCAGGGGTAGCTTCAAGTGATTTAGATTTAGATTTATTTACTTATTTGTCACATATACTAAGTATAGGAATACATAAAAATACAGCGAAAAGTGCACAAAGTTGCCATTCACTGGCGCCCACAAGGTTACAAAAACCAGAATCAAAAGATGTTAACAGAGCCAAAAGGTAAGCAAGTAAAAAATGTCCAGATCTCAAGAGTCCCAAGTCCCACCTCCCCAATGATGCAGGCACCACTCCAATCACGGGGACACCCAGAAGGCCGCCACCGCAGCCATGTGAAAGACCCACTCTTGCTGACTGCTGCCCACCTCACCAGCCTGTTCTCGCCGCCAAACTGGCATGGCCCGTACGTTCAGCGCCCACTGCATGGTTTTCAGTAACGACCGATTCCTTAGGTAGGTAGTTAAAAGGGAGGTTGGGGGATGGGGGGTATAGAATTACTGTAGAGAGAGAGAGGAGAGAAAAGAAGAAGAAGAGAAAACGAAAGGAAAAAAGAAGGAGAGGGAACTGGCGAGCAGAAGTGAGGAATGCTAGCTAAATGGCTGCACAATGATTTGCATTAATCATGACTCCTCAGATACTGAAGGAGTCCATGTACAAATGCAGCAAGACCTAGAAAATATCGAGAGTTGAACTGACATGTAGCACATAACATTCATGCTAGATAATTGCAAGGAAATGACTGTCTTCAATAAGAAAGAATCAAGCTGTTGCTCCTTGACATTCAATGTCATTACCATTGAATATAATTCAAGAGTTCATATCATTGAATCCTCCACTATCAAGTTTCTGCAGGGTTACCATTGACTAGACAAGTGAACCAGACCAGCCACGTAAATGCTGCAGCTACAAGAGCGGGTTGGAACCTCGGAGTCCTGCAGGAGGTAACTCAACTACTAACTTTGAAGTATTTAATGAAGCCAAATGACCATTACCTTTTCCATGGCAATTAGGGATCAGCTATAAATCTGGCACTGGCCACTATGCCCACAACCCCTCAATGAGCTAATAAAAGAAAATTAGCGATGAGTAACAAATGGTATCCTAATCAGCAATGTACACTTCCTGTGTAAATGCATAAAACAATAAATGTTTTCTATTTTATTTAAAACGTTAATCCAAAACACAATTGATAGGAATATACTGAACTGATGATAACATCGTCCACAGTGTTCCCGAGTGATATTTACCAGTGAAATAATACAGTGAATGAAATACCAAACACAGGGAACTAATGTTGGACAAAACATTTTTATGTTTTGAAGAATAAGAAACATCACTGCATTGTTAAAATATTTACGCATTCATGAGAAAATATTAGCAGTGATCATTACAAACTGTGTTCATCATTACATGACAACTTCGACTTAGACCTGTTCATCTGCAAGAATTATACTTGTACTTGTATGGCACTTAATCCATCAAGTTAAGTTTGGCCAGACAACCAAGAATAAGTTGTCTGATGTGAAGATAAGGAAATACATAAACTACACTACTTAAAAGGGGCAAAAAATATGTAATTGATTTAAAAGCTATATATGGAGTTTAGTCCCTTTTCTTAACTGTTCCAAAGTGGTCAGTTTGGTCTATCAGAAGGAACACCATTTTTTTTTCCCCCCATTAAAGGCTACTTTTATGACATAACATTATCGCATTGCATTGGTTGCAAGATTATACATTCCCATATAAATTATTGAGGAACTTACCACTGAGGTAAGTGCCATCTGGAAACTATAGATGCGTGCCAAGCCAAAATCAGCCAGCTTGATTTGGCCATTGCTGGTTACAAGTATGTTTTGGGGCTTCAAGTCTCGATGAACCACACGATGTGAATGAAGAAAGTCTAGTCCACGAAGCAGCTGGAACATCATATCCTATGTAAGAGGAAAGGAAAACAGGAGATTAGAATTTTTAATAAATACTACCCATGGCACAGTTTTGAATTAGAAACTTCAAATAATGCATTCTTTAATATTTTGACTTTTGTTCTTTCTCTCTGTAAAAGGTAATTCTCACTTTTGGTACTTACTTTCAGTGAACTCAGTTCTTCACTTCTGCAAAGTGCACTTTATGGCACTGTAATGAGAGTGATAAAAGTCACTGTGTGCCTTAAATTATGAATATTTGCGTCATAATTGATATGCATCCAAATTGGCGAGTAGTATCCCCTCAGGGATTTGTTCTGTGGCCTCAGTCTTTCACTGTATTTGTAAATCACTTGGAATAAGGAATAATGAGTCATGTATCTACGGACAACACAAGGACAATACAATAAATAGTGTAGAAGGGAGTGAAACATTGCAAAGGATTAGTGATGCATTAAGTGAGTGGGTAAAATCAGCTGATGGAGTTCAATTTGAGAAAATGTGAAGCAATCCATTTTGGCTCTAAGATAGACAGGTCACACTGGTCACTCAACGTTGGGATGCTAATAACTTTAAAACAGCAGGATTTCAGGATCCTGCATGGAAACAAATGGCAGGGGCTATAGTAGGTGAGGATTCAATTGTAATGGGAACAGACAGATGTTGCTGTGGCTGCAAATGAGACTTAAGGATGGTATAAAAACTGAAAGAACTGCGGATGCTGTAAATCTGGAACAAAAACAGAAGTTGCTGAAAAGCTCAGCAGGTCTGGCAGCATCCTTCCTATGTCTTATATACGTCTTATATACCTCAATTAGATCTCCTCTCAATCTTCTAAACTCCAGAGAGTACAGGTCTAAACTGCTCAATCTCTCTTCATAAAACAAACCCCTCATCTCAGGAATCAATCTAGAGAATCTCTTGTGAACAGCCTCCAATACAACTACATCCTTCCTCAAGTTAGGGAACCAAAACTGCAAGCAATACTCCAGCTGCAGACTCATTAATGCTTTGCACAATTGCACAACAATGTACTATAGACGACCTAACTATTCAAGAGAAGAAGAAGAAAAGGTACATAGACGAATCTCAGGGAGGCGTAAAAGTAGTAGGGGATTTCAACTTCTCCAACATTAACTGGGATAATTATAGTGTGAAAGGTTTAGAGGGAGCAGAATTCTTAAAATGCAGCGAGGAGAGCTTTTCAAGCCATTATGTAGAGGGCCCTACACAGAAGAGAATGGTGGTACTGAACATAATTTTAGGTAATGAAACTGGACAAGTGGGTGAAGTATCAATGGAGGAGCATTTTGCAGACAAGAATCATATCCCTGTTAGATTCAAGATTGTTATGAAAAGGACAAGAATGGACTGAAATCAAAGTTGTAAACTAGGGGAAGGCAAATTCTAATAAAATCAGACATGATTTGGCCAGAGTGGAAGTAGATATATTCAGATAAATCTGTCTCAGTATTCAAGAAGGAAATAAGGACCGTACAGGGCCAACATGTTCCAATAAAGAAAAAGATTGGAATCAACACATCCTGTGAACCCTGGATATTGGGGAATGTAACTGGATTAAGAGAAAAAGGGAGGCTTATGGCAGATACTGAGGGGTCAAAAAAGTAGAAGCTTGACAGGTGTCCAGAATGTGCAATAGGGAACTTTAAAACAATATTAGGAGACCTAAAAGGGGACATGAAAGTATACTCGCAGATAAAAAAGAAGAAAATCTTAAATTGCTGTACAAGTACATTAAGGGTAAAGGTATAACAAGGGAGAGATGGGCCCATTAAGGATCACAGCACTAATTTGCGTGTGGAGCCAGAGGACGTAGGTAGGGTTCTAAATGAATACTTTGTGTCGGTATTCACTAGTGAGAGGGATGGTTAGAAATCAGGAAGAAAATGCGTGACAAATTAAAGGAAATTAGCATAGACAGAGAGGAGGTTCTGAGTAGTTTGGCAGGTTTAGAAGTAGATAAATCTCTAGGGTCAGATAAAACATATCTCAGGTTGTTGAGTGAGGCAAGGGAGGAAATTGTAGGGGTGCTTGCAAATACCTTTAATTTGTCCCTGGTCATAGGAGACATGCTGGAGGACAGCTAATGTGGTACCATTATTCAAGTAGGGATCAAGGAATAAACCAGGAAACTACAGGCCAGTCTGTCATCCTTAGTGATGGGGAAACATGTGGAAGCAATTCTGAGGGGCAGAATTAATCTACATTTGGAGAGACAAGACAGACAGCATTATTTTGTTAAGGGTAAGTCATCTCTGACCAACATGATTGAATTTTTCAAAGATGTAACCAGGTGTGCAGATAAGGGCAATGCTTTTGTTGTAGTCGACTTGGACTTCAGCAAGACATTTGCTAATATCCCACATGAGCGAAGCTAACAGCCCATGGGTCTAAAGAAATTTGGCAAACTGGTTGCACAAATGGCTGAGTGGCAGGAAGCAGGTGGTTATGGGTGAGGGGTGTTTTCTTGACTAAAAGACTGTGTCCAGTGGAGTCCCATAGGGGTCAGTGTTGGGGCACTTGTTGTTTGTGGTTTATATAAATGATTTAGACTCCAATGTAGAAAAGTTGATCATTAAGTTTGCAGATGATACAATAGTTGCTGGGGTGGTAAACTGTGAGAAGAATAGCTTTACAGTATAGGATGTAGATGGGCTGATCAGTGGCAAATGTAACTCAATCTGGACAAACGTGAGGAGATGCATTTGGGCAGGGAAGGCAAAGGGAGAAGTGAAGAATGGTAGACCCTGGGAAGCATGGAGGACCAGAGGGATCATTGTGTGCATGTTCACTGATTCCTTAAGGCATCAGGACAAATAGGTAAAGTGGTTAAAGGCATAAAGTTTAAGAGCAGGGAGGTTTTGCTGGAACAGTATAAAATGTTTTTGGCAACAGCTACAGTGTTGGGTGGAGTTCTGGAATCCACATTACAGAAAGAATGTGATTGCACTGCAGAGGGTGCAGTGGAGATATATCATGCCTGGGTTTGAGCTGTTGGGCAGACTGAAATTGCTTCCCTTGGAGCAGAGGAGATTGGATAGGGATACGATTGAGATGTACAAAATTAAGAGGGGCATAGATAGGGTTGACAGGAGAGACTTTTCCCTTTGATGGAGAGATCAATGACCAAGAGCATAGATTTAAGGTAAAGGGCAGAAGGTTGAAAGGAGATGTGAATAAAAACCTTTTCACCCAAAGGCTGGTGGGAATCTAGAACTCACTGGTTGTAACAGTGAGAGACTGAAACCCTCAAGAAGTGCTTAAACGTGTACTTGCAATGCCAAGACATACTATGGGCCAAGTGCTGGAAAATGGCATTAGAATAGTTAGGTGGTTATTTTTGACTGACATGGACGTGATGGGCCAAGGGCTTTTTTCTGTGCTGTAGGCCTCTACGCTTCTATGCGCATGCCTGCATATCTCCTCATTCAGTAAGGTCAAAAATGTATTAATTGCAGTCTTGCATATGTTTAGCAATCAAGCATTCAAATCGCGTGCTGTACCTGCATGCTAACTTCCTGTGTTCCTAGTAGGAGAACACAAAAATCCCTTTCAAAATCAACATTTAGATTTTTCATATCTTTTAAAAAATACTTTGTTTTTCTATTCTTAAATTATGATCTGATATTTCCCTACATTATGTAACTTCTGTCAACTTTCTGCCTACTCACTTTACCTGTCCACATCTCTTTGCAGCCACTTTGTGTTCTCCTCACAGCTTACATTTCCACTTAACTTTGTATCATCAGCCAACTTAGATCCATTACTCTAATTATTTGTCAAGTCACTGATATAGATTACAGAGGCCCCAGCACTCCTCTTTGTGGTACTCCACTACTCAGTGAAATCCTGCCAACATGAAAATATCTCAAAGCCCGACTTTAAACCTTTTTACTGTGCCCTATTAATCAGTACAAAAATAATTCAAAAGGTACCTGGAATGTTGGCTAAAGGTCTGAATTATACATGAGTTTGATTACAGATGAGTGGAAGTTAAGATACAGCCCTACAAACTCTCTTGTTGGAATTGTATTCAGTTGTGGGGACCATAAATCAAGAAGGGTACGGTGACCTTGTAAGAGTGCAGTAAACATTCAACAGAATACAGTTAAGTCCTATCATTCATACAGGTTATGTTCCAGGAAAACTTCATTCAAATCAGCAAACATGGCAGATTGCAATGTGTCACATGCATAATGTGCACTTCCTACTCTAGCAAGTTTTTTTTTCCCTTTAATACCAAAGATAAGTTGAAGATTGGGTTTATATTGGTTGTAAGACATAGAGCAAAATAAGTTGATTAACAAAGAGTATAGAGAACAGCAGGGCTGGATTGTAATACTAAGGTCAAAAGGGTTCATTTTGAGAAATGACATAGACCAAGCTTGAATCTCTTTGAATAAGATGAAGGGGTGATCTAAGGTATTTAAGATGGAGTTGACAGGGCAGATATATTTGGAAAGTCCAGAATAAGGGGTGTAACCATCAAATTAGAGCTAGGCCATTCAAGGCTTCAGTCAGAAATCACTTCAGCATCTGAGGAGTCGCAAATAATGCCGAACATTGTGTGATCATCAGCAAACCTCTCTACTTTTAATCTTATGATGGAGGGAAGCTTATTAATGAAACAGCTGAAGATGGTTGGGCTTAAGACACTACCATACTGAGGAACTCTTGCAGCAATGTCCTGTCACTCGGATGACTGATCTTCAACAACTATACCTATCTTTGTTTGTGCTAGGTACAACTCCAGCCAGAGGAAAGTCTTCTCCCTGACGTGCACCGACTCCAGTTTTATGAGGGCTCCTTAATGCCACATGCTGTGCATGCTGTCAAGGGCAGTCATTTGCACTTCTAGAATTCAGAACCCAAACTGAGTATCAGTGAGTCAGTTATTTTTGAGTTAAGTGCTGCTGATTGCTGGTTTGGATTTATCCTACATTTTCTGCATAGCATAGGCAGTTTTCCACTTTATTAGGGAGATGCCA